AAAAAAAAAAAAAAAAAAAGATTGATTGATAGATTGATTGATTGATTGATTGATTGATCGATCGATTGATTGATTGATTGATTGATTGATTGACTGATTGATTGATTGATTGATTGATTGATTGGTGAGGGAGGTCTTCCCAACCCTCCCCCCAACACACACACACACACACACACACACACACACACACACACACATACACACACACACAATCAGTTTTATGTCTGTCTGTTTTCCTCTTGTTGTCTGTTCTCCCTCTGATTTTTTCTAAGTATTTTTGCTTACCAAACTGAGTAGGGCCAAACAGTCGGTGGTTCCTCTTTTGAAGTGCCTACTGCACTCTTAGGGGGGCTGCTCAGTTCGTGATGTATGTGTTGCCTATGGGTGGTGATGGATGCTCGTCGGAGTGACTCCCTGGCTCAGTGGGTGGTGGGAACCAATAGTCTGTGGGGTTTAATCGTGATGTGAGTAGGTTATGTGCTGCTTCGCTTCGTGTTGGATATATGGACTGCCTCGTCTGCGCTCTGCCGCTGCCTTGTTGCCTGTCCCGCTTGCTTCACATGTGGTTCTTTGCAGGTTGATGTGTTCGTTGTGTGGTGTGGCTGTGTTGTTGGTGGTCCCTTTGCGCTTCGCTGCTCCGCTGCCTTGCCGCTCATCAGCTGGTCGTGCCTTCCATGTCCTTTGCTTGCGCGCCTTGTAGTTCACTTGCCTTGTAGGTGCTGCCTTGTGCTCCACTGCACGGTAATTGTGCTACTCGACCGCTAGCATTGTTGTCCCTTGCTGTGTGGTTGCCTTGCTTCATAGCGTGGCTGTCGCAGTGCTTGTCCAGCGCGCCGTGTTGTTCCTTCCAGTCGTTTTTGGTGATGTGCAGCCGTTGTCTGGCGGCTGCCTACCAGCCGGAGACCTTTCCTTTTGAAATCGATGAATTTTCAAACATTTCCTTTTTGCCTTTGCATGGTTTTGATGTATGCATGCGTGTGACTATGAGGCTTGTGGGTGGTTTTGAGTTTCCGGGTCTTCGTACGAACCTTTCAATAGGCGGAAGTGGCGGTCGCAAGCGGGCTCGGGCCGATTCCCAAAGGTTGGAGTTTTCGGACCTAAGGCGGGGAATCTGGGATTGATGGTTGACTTTGAGGTAGGCCATGGGAAACTTAGGAAAAAGGGAACCTGCGAGGTCCTGGGTATGACTATGAGAAGCTGTCAACAGCGCGACACTGAGGGCGATAGGAAGAGACTCGTAACGATTACCTATCCGCATGGGTTCCGTAGCAGGGGTTGCAACCTTATGAGTCCCGAGGCGATGGTGGGCCCTGCATCGATGAGTTTGGAGGTCTGCAGTGGGCAGGTGCGGACGAGAGAACTGGAGAATCCTAAGGGTCAGAAGCGACTGGCTTATAACGAGGCGGTGGTGCGGGCCACGGACCAGTTTCTGTCAGGAGTCGAACTAACTCTAAATAAGGGGGTTCGAGGACCAATAATGCATGATCGGCGTAAGGACGGTTCGACGTCCTCAGCTTCGTTGGCTTATGCGACTATCCTGACCGAGTTCGGGCGGGGCTGTACCCCATCGCGGCTATCTGACAAGCACCCCCGAGTCCGGCCAGTGAGAATCAGGTGCGACTTATTCGAGAGGAGTAAGGGGAAGCCGAGATCGGCGGATAGAGAAGAGGGTGGGAGGATCGGAAGTATGGGGAAGAAGAAGGGAGAAAGTCGACCGAGAACGGGGGCGAGCGCGGGGGGCGGACAGTGGCTTGATCACCGCAGTGAGTAATCGAAGGGCGCCTCATGCGCGGGCCTTGTGTTTTGGGTCAGCTGGGAGTGCGGTGTAATTGATCTCAGGACAGTCCTCGTGAGCTATCCCCTTAATAAAAGGCAATGGGAGTAGAGGTGAATCGGAGGAGAAGGGGGGAAGCCGTTCAACTTCGGAGCAGCTCCAAAGGCTGAACAGGTTGGTGAGTGGGGCCGTACTTCTTGGGAAGGAGGGGCTAACTGATAACGGAATCCGACCAAGGAGAACAGGTGGAGAGGGACTGGTGAAAGGAAAGGCGGTTTAGATCTACTATGGAAGGAGCGGGAAGGGAGCTGCATGCCCACTCTGGGGCCGCCGCCAGCGAAGCAAGCCTTTGCCTGGCTAGGTACTTGGCCTTCAAAAGGAGGCTGGCCGAAAGCGGGATTGAGCAAGGAAGGGCAGGTAACGAGGGATTGAAGGAACAGTCGGAGATAGAGCGCTTGCGAATCTTGGGGCGCGCTCGCCTTAAAGAATTTGATAACTACCTTCAGGGAGGAAAGGCCAAGAAGCTAGTCGAGGGAAAATTGGTCGTGGCTAGCTTCTTGATAATCGTTTGGCCAACGGAAAATGGTGCCTTTCGCCAGCAAGTTGTGCTGAGCTTTGAAGAACAAAAAGACCACCGCCGAGACGGATGTAAACAAGCAAAGTGGGGGAAGGGAGAGGTCAGCGACACGGTATAGCTAAAGCTTCATGCAAGACGAGCGGGAGGGCGCTCCCAGAAGGTGACTCTCGTTAATCAGGCGGGAGAAACGAATAGAAAAAGCTTGGATCTGATGAAGGCGTAGCAACTTCGGGGATTGGTGGGGAGGACAGGAAGGAGGGATCGGAGTCCCCCGGAGTAAACCGGGCGGGAAAAAGGGGACGGCAACGGAGCCGTCCAAAAGTTTTCCCCGATCGAGGCGGGAGGATCTCGAGTTGGAAAAATTTTGCTCGTCCGCCGGATTCAAAAGGGAGGAAGGGACGAGGATCAGTCTGAAGGGAAAGTGGGCAAAGGCAGAGTATAAGAAGAGGAGTGGCCGAAGAAAAATGGGGGCGTACGAGCAGACTCGGAATGCGCACGCGCAATCACTTCGGTCGCATGGTGCGAGCATCGGTCGCAGCGTACGGGTTAGCGGTGCACAGGCGACGGTGAGCAAACGAAAGAGCAGAGAACGGATCGCTCGGTACAAGTGAGTCGGGAATAGAAGACAAGTGGGGAGCGCGAGGCGGCGGGGGAAGCGCCGCCGATCGCTGAAAAGAGGAGAGAGAGATAAAGGGCCAGGGACGGCGACACTATCCGAGGAGGAGGCTCGAGGAGCGGCGTCGAACGGACGCCCTCTCGCTTCGCGACCAGGGGCAGCTCTTCAGCGCGCGAGGACGCCGACGCAATATAAAGTTTTAGTGGGCTAGCGGGCTGCCGGAGCGTGAGATGGCGAGCGGGGAATGCTAGAGAAGGAGAGAGAAGAGAGCTGGAGAAAGGGAGAGAGCCAGAGAGGTAGAGAGAAGAGAGCGGGGAGAAAGAGAGGTAGAGAGAAGGGAGCCGGAGGGGCAGAGAGAGAGAGAGAGAGAGATTAGGAGAGGGCGAAGGGGGAAAAAGGAGTTCCGCCTCCAAAGGCGGCGAGCGGACTAGCGAGGTGCGAAGGCCGAAGTTGGCCTCTCGAGGCTACAGGCGCTGGTCGAGAAAACGACGGTTGTTCTTCGAGTGTGAAACGGGCTATCTCGGGTTCAAGGGAAGCCATTGGATACATCGCTGAACGCGAGAGAAAATCCGTCGGCATTGCGAGGCAGACTCGTCCGTCGGAGCACAAAGCCTCGGAGCGAGCTCGAGGACACGGGGTGGAGGGGAGCGAGAAAGGAGGAGGGAAGAAAAGAAGGAGCAAGTGAGTCGGGGATGTTCGTGCGCCGGAGTCTCTAGGTGTTATAGCTACGGAGTAAGTCATCGTTGGTAAGAGTCGAGCAGCGGTTGATCTCCTGCATACGACGGGGCATCGCCAGGTGGCGTCGCAAGGTTCCAGTTACTTCAGGTTCCGGACGGACCTGTTGGGCTCCCGGGTAGAATTAAGTCGCGGCCAATCCGCGCACTAGGCGTGCCTTCGCCGGGTCGTGAGAAGGAATTAGGCAATCTCGTAACTGCCTCCAGATCGGCACCAGGTGTAAACGTCGAAACAGGGTTCGCCGCCAGTACATGCTTCAGCTGTGAGATAGTCGATTTCGATATGAATCTGGAACGCGGCGTCTCGCTATAGAAGAGCCCTTCTCCGTTCGATCAAAATTAAGTTGCTGCTCGGTCCTAATTAGAATCTGGTTTCGTGTGTGTTGTCTCCATTTGAACTGGGAGAAAGTCGATTTCGATATGAATCCGGAAAGCGGCGTCTTGCCATGGACGAACCCTTTTCTGCTCGATCAAAATTAAGTTGTTTCCCGGTCCTAATTCGAATCTGGTTTCGTGTGTGTTGTCTCCGTTTGAACTAGGAGAGGGTCGATTTCGACATGAATCCGGAAAGCGGCGTCTTGCTATAGACGAGCCATTTTTCTGCTCGATCAAAATTAAGTTGTTTCTCGGTCCTAATTCGAATCTGGTTTCGAGTGTGTTGTCTCTGTTTGAACTCAGTCTGGGAGAAAGTCGATTTCGATATGAATCCGGAAAGCGACATCTTGCTATAGACGAGCCAGTTTCTGCTCGATCAAAAATAAGTTGTTTATCGGTCCTAATTCGAATCTGGTTTCGTGTGTTTCGATATGAGTCCGGAAAGCAGCGTCTTGCCATAGACAAACCCTTTTTCTTTTCGATATGAATCAAGGTAATGCTCGATCCTAATTCTAGTTTGCTTACGTATGGGTGGCTCTGCTCGAATTGAGACAAGGTCGATTCTGGTGTGAACCCGGGGTATGGAAACTCACTATAGACCTAGCTTTCACTGTTTGGTCAAAAATTGAGTTATTGTTTGGTCAGAATCCGAGTCTCCTTCGTACAAGTGTCTGCTCAGACGGTGTCATAGTCGATTTCAGTATGAACCTGGAGCCCTGCATCTCGCCATAGTCGGGTCTTTGGGCTACACTCGGTTCGTGATCGTGGGCGTGATTTCTGCGCCTCGAGTCGCGCCGGGTTCGACTCTCATTCTCGTCTCACGTGGCCTCAGCATCTACCGTCAAAAGGTTAGAGTTTGACTTTGAGAACTCTGTGCCTCTTGGAATTCGAGAACTCCTAGGAGTTTTGTATGCGACCAGAGTC